TGTATGTGTAAATAAATATTTATATGTAGTAAATATTTATATATATAGGTACATGTACATATATATATATATATATATATATATATATATATATATATATATATATATATTAAAGAGATAAAAACGCTCGCACATACATATACCTACATATATAAATATTTACACTGTCTTTACCTCCTCTATTCATAATCACAGCTGATGCTATTGGCCAGGCCATGAAATGAGCTGTCTTGTGTCAACGGAAACTAAACTGCCAATATTGCCGGGGAAAAGGACCACCACACGACTGAAAACTAAACATGTATCACGTTTCGCTATTTTGAATATTATCGTTCTTTTTGGGGAGTGGGCTGGCGGTCGGCAGATGTTGTTGCGGCTGTTATACACGGCTCTAAGTACATTTTATTTATACACAGCAAACATCTGCATAACGACTTCTTTGTTACCACGGTAGCAATCCAAGAGAAACTGACGTCTCGTCACCCAGGACCCATCCAAAATGACATGACAAAGAAGTATAAAGTGGTAGGTGTGAATATCTCGAAAGATAGATAAGTTTAACTTGATTTGGGACATAGTTACAATAGTTCGTACTCTATGGGAAGAGGACTTACTAGCACATGCCATTCGAGTCTGACATACTAACTATTGTTATACACCAGGTGTCCTAGATATTTACCATAGCTTTATTTTATAATGGAGTTCACTCTGTAGAAGACCCGAGGGCCAATCGAGACAGAGTGTTGGAGGAACGAAAGAGAAAATCACCTACCTCGAAAAAGAGATCGTGTTTTGTGCGTGGACTGCCGAAGGAAAAAAAAAAGAAAATTGTTAACAAAAGCCGGAAACTTTACGTTTCAGACGAAGTATGCGAATGTTCTTACCAACGTGGCATGGTCAAACAGAAAAAAGGGCTCTGTGAATAAAAGCCGTTGCTTTGGTTCAACATCGTCAGAACGAGTTTTCAGCTTCGTGAGCGAAAGTGCGTTTTCTCTGTGGCAAGTGGCAAGTTGGATTATTTACCTCATTTTTGGTATTAATTTGCATGAACATCACTGTGGAAATGGTCCGAAAATAACTCACCAGAGAAGCAACAGAACCGGGTGTCAGAGTGCTCGGTGCCCGAACACGACAGTCGAGAATACCAGCGCGAATTGCAGGTGTGGCTGAATAATGGATAATGGATGGCTGGCTCAGTATCCTGAAGAAGAGCTTGGTCTTCCAAGAGGCCTCATCCATGTAATGGCCGTGTTGCAGAAAAACAAAGGAGAGGTACGCTCCATACTAGATTATCGGGAGCTGAATGAACTTGTAGATGCATACATGGCTTATGCTGATTAACAAGGGGAGAACGATTTTTGAGCTTGGTGAGTTGCGAGTGGAAAATTGGATTATTTTTTTTTTCCCATTTTCGGTATTAATTTGCCTGCTGGACTGTTTCCGACCGCTTTGCCTTTTGAACATTTTAAACACAAATTTGCGATTGAACCTCTTGTTGGCACACGATTTTTTTTTTAATGACCACATTGATTAATATTCTAACAGTAAGAGGCAGTATTTATGCGGATAAGTAGGGAAGATAACGGTTAGCACTAGACTTGAACAGATTAAGATTGTAGTGATCGGGGAAGCAACCACTTGGGAGTCGATTCCTCTTGGGAAGAATGGAATGAGGGTGGTTCGCTACAATGTTCGTTGCATAGCGGGTCTTAGCCGTGAAGGTTAGAACTGAATAAACTAAGGAATGTAGTTCATGGAAATAACGCAAGAGGTTTGCGACGACTTGTCTGCGAGAAAGGGGTTACAGAATGGTCAAAACATTCATCGACTACAAGGACGCAGAGATTCTTTTGGACTCTGTCAAGAGTGGAAAGTGAAGAATGGGCAGTTCCCGTCTATCTATGGCACCAGTACTCTATTTTCAGCCTGATCCGGCTCTTGTAAATGTAGAGAATAGCAGGAAGAATACTTGCTAGATTGGTACAAGGAACTGACCATTTATCCAGTATCTTTAGCGGTAGATTGTATGTACTAGTTCTACTTAGTTTATTCCAATAAAAGGACACAACTGAAGAGCATCACTTCCGAACCAAGTGTTCAGATCCAGTAAGGATCGAACTCACGGACTAATGACTCGCTAAGTTATCTCTCTAACTACTACTCTAGAACCAGCGTCCAGTTCAGAGGAAGATTTAGTGGAAGTGGAAGATTTAGGAGAATATTCTAAATCAGATCTACTGTTGAACTGTGAAACATGGAGTAACGTACATTCTAGCGAATCACCCACATTCCCCCATATTCCATTAGTGAGATGAAGTTCTAGTCGAGCAGCTTCCCGCGAACCGATGCTCTGTTGAACCGACTCCCGAGAGGATGTTTTCCCGATCACTACAATCACTTGGTCAAATCGAGGGCTAGACGTTATCTTCCCCACATATCCGCATAAACTGGGTCTCTTCTGTAACACTCTCCCTTGTGTGGTTCTCGGAGGCCTTGTACAGAATAAACTTCACTGGGAAAAGAAGCAGGTACTGGTAATTTTTCCCAAAAATAGGCCGTATGAGGTATGAAATTTTGGGAATACATAATGAGGAAGGAGTACTTGGAAAATCTGACACTCACAAGATATATAGAAGTTAAGAGAGTTTGAGAGTGGCAAAACTTACATGACTAGCTTATGTGAATGAATACTGGAATGGGATGTGGGAGAAATAAGACAGAGATTGCTAAAGGTTATACGGGATGAGATGTTGTGTCCTGAATCGACACTGTCCATAGAAGAAATAAGAGAAAAATACTAAAGTTAAAGAAAAACAGTTTTAACCATGGGGTTTTGTTTGTAACTTAAGTGGAAAAATCCTTTATCTATCAAACGAAACACTTTCTATTAAAGCTGCGTATATTTAATTCATTTACATGTTAATTTGAAATTTTGCTACAACTGCTTAATCATAAGACTACTAAAAACTTCAAGGTAATTTTCTGGTGAAGATACCGTAGCCATTTTCACTACAAAAGACCATCTTGATTACGACCATTCGATCTCTCTATGGAGCTCCATTGACAATGCTTTTCCACACTGTTCGATCGTGTATTTCTGTCCCAAGATCCCCAAGACTATACGCGTAAGTCTCTTTCTTAGAAATGGAATGAATTTGATTTTATTTCATTTGTAGAAAATATTTTTGTTGCAATTAATCAAATACTACTTTAGTACAGTCCTTCACAAACGGTGCAGCGCGTCTCATACGTGCGGCGGTAGATATAGAAAAAAAGTTTTAAAAAATTCATATCAACAAAAATGAACCAAATTTAAAAATTTAAAATACTATTATGGCTTACTTGTAATTTCATGCATGAGTTCCAGTATAAATAATTACAATTTTATTATTGTGATATTTTTGTATTATATCAAGTATTAAAAATATAATAACAAGGCTCTGCAAATTAAAGGAGAGAGTTATCAATGATAATGTTCTGACTTCAAATCTGCGGTTATCTCCCTTTAACCGTCTCTCTTTTATTTTTATAAATACTTTTTATCACATAAAATTGGGTGAAACGCGAGCAAATTTTCATTCCGAAAATACGACCCAGAAAAAAAAGTTTGGGAGCCACTGCAGTATAATGTTATCGTCGCTCTGTGTGATTTGTTTCGAATTTATTTATTTGACCACACAAAAATATTTTTAGAAAGATATGATATATTTCTTTTCCAGAGAAGAACTATTACGTTATGGATGATTATATTACTGTTATTGGAGATTATATATTTAAGTAGTGTAACAGTTAACCAATCGCAAACAGAAACGGGAAAGCTGAGCTTGAAATCCGGTAGAATTCGTTACGTTCATTTCCGAACAAATAGCCTTGTGAAAGGCATGAATACATCTCTCCTTTCCTCACTGTCTTGAAAAAAAAAACTGAGAATTAAAAATAATAGCCTAATGATGGATGGGCTCCGTTAGGTTATTTTGCACTAGCTACGCCACTGCTGCACTGGCTGCTATATAGGTGGTGTTCAGTTACTCTAATAGATTACGGTACTCAAGACTTGTCGTGATGTATTGATGATTGCAAGATTTGATGCAGGTTTTTTTTCTGCGAAAAACATCTTCGGCTTTTGCTGTTGCTTGTCACGGTAGTTCAAATTGCAGTCGATTCCTTTTCATTCACTTCACATTTCCCTACGAAAGGCATGGATCCATTTATTTTATGGTTTAAATCGTAGGGTAAACTCGTCTCTTCTGTCTTATGTAGCAGCCGCTCGTGTAGAATGCCAACTAAGTAATGCTTTAATAAGGCTGGGCATCTTAAAATATTAATCTTTCTTCATTGAATTCTGAAAGAAAATGGCGGATCATTAAATAAACTACAAAGAAAGGAGAGATTTATTTGAAAGATACGTTGATGCCAGAAATGATGAAGATTAATTCGATGGAAGGAAAGAAATGTTTGTTATAATCTTTTAAAAAATGAAGATAAGTCAAACTGAATCATTGTAACTTAAATGCTTCTGGGTTTTATTTTCTGTTGAAACAGCATTTATTCTTTACTGATTTACGGTATTATCAAAAAACGATATTAATATTTAAACCATCTCTCAATTGCATCTATTATATTTCTGCATGAGTAATCTATGGATTTATTAAAAGATTTAATTCTATTGTTACGTGTAAGAAAGAATATTCTTTGTAAACCATGAGAGGAAAAACTATGAATGTCTGTAGCCTAACGTTTATTCGCATCGACAGTGGAATCAGTGAGCCGAGTTCAAATTCTGGCAGAGTGAGCTACGTGAAGTTCCTCACTATGCTCTTCGGCAATGTTTATTGTTTTAAAAAGCGATGGTTAGAACTGGAATAAGAAGACCGTCTTGTATACACTCCGTTTTAGTGCGGGCACGTTTGTCTATGTTTACCAATCAAACTTTTCTCTCACTCTCTATGGGTTAAATAGCAGGATTGACTCTGCTCTCTAGAATTGGTGGCTTACAACGACATCACGTTGAAACACCGGTTCCCGTACGATTAGTGAAGTAAAGCATCGTCGAGCCTGGTCAGTACCTAGATGGGTAACCGCTTGGGAATGTGTTGTAAACTTGGATGTACAGGTTGTACAATGGATAATAGCTCTGAATTGTTAATTGGAGAGCCGAGTTCCAACTCCCGTCCGGCTCATTATATTCGCTTACGGGCAAATATGGTATGAATCCACCTTTTACCCCCACCAGGTAAGGGTTCATTACTAAGAATTGTATAACTGAAAACCATTATCTTCATACAATAAATAAGTACATAAAATTGCGTACAAAATATTTAGATTATGGCATTAAATAATCCATAGAGGCTGCTAAACAAAAGGAACTAGACCAAACTTTAGCTTTGATTAGCAGTCAGTTTACTAGAAGGAAAACTCTGAATTGAGAACAGAGAAGATAACAAAATCACGCCACAATTTTACTCAAGAAGTCACGGAGATTCGCAGATAATAGAGAGAAGAAATCTCCGGAGAGCTATGATCACCTACATCCAGAAGGGATATAACATTAAAGTATATCGTAGTGAAGAATATAATGTAAGTCTCACTAAATTCGCGTATTTGGCTATGAATAAAAACTTGAATTTTAATGATATGCTAAATTACATAAATGTGAATGGCTGAATGTGAGGTACGAAGAATGTGCATATATATATATATATATATATATATATATATATATATATATATATATTAATTATTCCCCGAGCATTTCTCCATTGTGGAAGTGTCCTAACTTAATATTTCCTATATGGAACCATATATATATATATAAAAAAACAATCGATTCTCCCGTCGGGTTCGACGTATGAGGGTCAAGCAGATCAGTTTCAAGGAAACTGACAGCCCGACACCGGTACATGAGATTCGATTATAGTGGTGAAGGTTTCGTGCAGGACCATCCACACTTTTTGAAGGGCCGAATACAGAGACCTGGTGCACTACGTGCCACAAGGTCCCCAAACAACCCCTCTCAGGTTTTGAATTCAGAGTTGTCTATCTCCTAGACCAGTTGCCATCCAAGGCTATAGAACCCAGTCTGTCCTGCTATTTTACCCATAGCTGGAGGGAGAAGAAGAGGATTCACACCTTTCCCAAGGGTATTAGCACGTAAGTGAATGCAATGGATTCAACCTGGATTCGAACACGGCTCTGTGATTCCTCAATCCAAGCCGATATCCACCGTGCATCCTCTAATATATATATATAATATATATATATATATATATGTAATAAAAGATATCATAAATAATCAGTAGAAAGCCTTAGTGCAAATGTATGTGTGTGTGTGTGTGTGTGTGTGTGTGTGTGTGTGTGTGTGTGTGTGTGTGTGTGTGTGTGTATATCTGTGAGTGTGCTGACGCCAAGCAAAAGTCGGTTCCCCACTCAAAAGCCGCCAAGGAATTAAGAGCAAAATGGAGCGAAAGAAGAAAGAAAATTAAGGAATCTAATTTTGCCTCCTAAACAATAGCAGTGAATGTCCTGAAAGATATAAATTTGGTGCCACTAGCAATATATATATATATATATATATTACTATAAATATAATGACAAATTAGAAAAACGGCGCTGAATTATTGAAATCTCCTGACGAGTGGACTGAACAATTACAAAAAGTGTTCGTCTACGAAACTCCGAAAGTGAGGTGCTGAATATAACATCAATTACCTCGCTAACAAATTTTATTTGTGTTAATAACAATGTATTAAATTATATATATATATATATATATATATATATATGTGTGTGTGTGTGTGTGTGTGTGTGTGTGTGTGTGTGTGTGTGTGTGTGTGTGTGTGTGTGTGTGTGTGTGTTTTCATTAAAGATGACATATAATATACTGCGATTAAACTTTTTATTCAATTTTTCTTGTGTTTGAACAAGCGTTTTCTTTTCTGGACACTTACCAAACTCAATCCGAAACATACTAGTAGAAAATACAAACATGTAAAAAAAAACATGTATCCACATGTAAAAAAAACATGTATCCACATGTAAAAAAAAAAAGATTAAAAATAATGGAAGCCTTAATAATAAAAAAAGAAAAGGCCAACACTCAGTAATATTAACTACGAACACGGCCACAATGTGCTGTGCTCGGAAAATAAAACATCCCTATAAAACTAGAAACATACATACTACTCTTACACCCAATTAAAAAACAAAAATAAATTCATCTTTGATAATGCCTACAAATATACCCAAAAGCGCTCAGAATTACAGAATATTTGGACATTTTCTACACAGTCTGCGTCCAGAAAAGAAAAGACTTGGACAAACACGAGAAAAATTAAATAAAAAGCTTAATCGCAGTACCTTGTCTGTCGTTTTTAATGAAACATGTATAAATGAAGGATTGCTGCCTAAACACACGATATATATCCTTACCTACCTCATCCTCAATATTAAGTATTGTAACAAAAATAAAAACAAAAATAAATTTTAAAACTCTACCTTCCCTATCTAATTCTGACCATGTCTCTCACACTATCCTTCACCTCCCCTCTATGTCACCTTATATAAGCTTAATACTGCCCTTCAAAATCATTTTCCACCCTTGAAAGTGAAGTGTGAAGATCCAGAGAAAAATAAAATCTCTGGTGAAATATATTATAACAATGGAAGCTTAAAGTGGTCTGTTTTTTTCTTTAAATATATATATATATATATATATATATATATATATATATATATATATATATATATATATATATATATATATATATGCACATTTTATTGAATACGACAGACGAGGTGCTTTGATTTAGTTTTTATGATTTCTCATGCGATCTATTTTTTTTTTCTTTTCAGATGACAAATTATATAAAAATTCTCCGAATGTTCTTTTAATCTGACCGCTTTCGGCTATACATTGAGCCATTTTCAAGGATGAGATATTTTAACTGTTAAATAAGAATTAAATTTCTCAATGATATTATTAGCCTATCTCTCCTTGCTAAGTATAGCATTAAATCTACCGATGAATTCCTCCAAATACTTAAAAGCACAAAAATTCTTACGTCACTTGACGTAGAAAATTTATTTACTAATGTTCCTGTCTCTGAAACTATTGATATTATCATTAATTCAGACTATAAGAAATAATTTAATTCCACCTCCATCAATCCAACCCAATATTTTAAGAAAACTATTGCTCGCTTGCACCACTAGATTTCCTTTTTATAGCCAGAATGGTACTATTTACACACAAACTGATGGAGTCAGTATGGGAAACCCTCTCGGACCGTACTTCTCCAATTATAATACGTCTTATGTTAAAAACAAGGTTTTAACTTAAGTTATTAAACCTAAAATATATGTTCGTTATGTAGACGATATATTTATTATAGCTGAAAACAAGAAAGAAATAGAAAATCTGAAAGCTACATTTCAACAAAATTCCGTTCTAAATTTTACTTATGAACTTAGTGATAAAAATAAACTTCCTTTCTTAGATGTTCTCGTCGATTTCAGTAATAATACTTTTAAAACTTCTGTTTATAAAAAAAAACTAGCAAAGACTCTTTCCATGTTAATGTCTCTAGTGAATGCCCTCCTAGATATAAAATAGGTGTTGTTAAAAATTTCCTCACGAGAGCGCACAAGAGTTCATGCACTCGCACGCTTTTCTTTAAAGAATTAAACAACGTAAAACAAACGCTTATTAATAACGGATTTCCTAATCAATTGTTGGATTTCCATATTAGGCCTAAGGTAGCTAATAGCAACGACGAGAATAGAAACTTAAACAACATTATTATTTTTTATAAAAATCAAATGAACGAAAATTATAAGCAAGACGAAAGAACATTATAAAAAATACATAACACTAGTTGACAATAGTAAAAAAATTAGATTAATTATGTATTACAAAAAATTTAAAACCTCTAACCATATAGTTAAAAATAATAATTCACCTCTTACAACAAAATTAAATAGGGCAAATATTATTTACGAATTTAAATGTCCATTAAGGAATTTTATTCTTGATCAATCAAAATTCGTAAATAATTATATAGGCCACACTACATGTTTGACACGAAGACTCACGCTACAACTTTTTGATTATAGCTCAATTAGATCTCATTTAAATATTTATGAAGACCTACCGGACACTATTCGCAATATATTTGTTGACAACACAAATATAATATCATCATCTACATGCAAAAAAGGCTAAAAATAACGGAAGCCTTATTAATAAAATCATAAAAAACAACACTTAATAATAGCAACTATGAACATGGACACAATCTTGACCGTGTTTTGAGAAATGAAAACTTTATATCAATACACACATGCAACAAGCTATTTCTTTTTTAACAGTTAAAATATTTCATCCTTGAAAATGGCTAAAGTGAAAGCGCTCGGATTAAAAGAACATTCGGACAGTTTTCATATAATTTATCATCTGAAGTGAAAAAAATATTCGATCGCATGAGAAATTGTATGAAAAAAAAATAAATCAAAGCACCTTGTCTGTCGTATTCAATGAAATGTGCATGAAAGAAGGATTTCTTAACACACACACACACACACACACACACACACACATATATATATATATATATATATATATATATATATATATATATATATATATATATATATATATATATATTACAGTTTATAAACAATCTTCCACGATTTTTCTCGATCAATATATGCTCGCGAAACGTACCTTAACGTAAACTAGGACAACATATAACGAAATGGATTAAGCCCAAAAATTATTTAATATATTTTCTGTTTACGTAATTTTTATAGGTACCATTTATTAAAGTAAATGTTCTGTTTTTAATTAATTAATTTAATTGAATTAATTAGACTTTGCTAACCAGATGTTTCTCTGTAGCAAAAGGGTACAGCACGTCATATGAAATGAACGGTTTCCGTATAGGAATACAGGTTCGATTCCTGTCGAAGAACGCATATATTCTATGAAATTTCTCCAACATACAGGTCGGTAAATGTACATGTAATTTATTCTGTTTAGTTAAAAACAGAGCATTTACTTGAATAAAGTGTATTTGTAAAAATAACGTATAAACA